AGGAATGCCACAGAAGTGGTGCCCTGCCCTCAGTGTATCACATCAGGATGCACATGGTGTTTGTTTGTCCTATTACTGCACATGTTGGCTTTCATGCCTGAGTCGGGGTGGCGCCCACCAGGCTTCTCCACCATAAAGTTACTCTTTATTCTTTACAAGGACTGTCTTGTGAGGAGGTACTTTAAGACTTTGTAGATATCCTGGACCTTCTGAAACGTTCACTGACAAGTTTTAGCATCCATTGACAATTTTAGCTGCCGTTGTACGATGCGGGTTTTTCCCTCTCCCCCTTTATGTATTTCTTCATTTATCTATTTACAGTAAGTATGGACTCAATGGATTTGGCCCTTTCAAGCTGACTCCTGTGTGACTGGGAATTGGTTTGGAAGATCGCATTTCATGATGGATTGGACGGGCTGTGTGTGAGAGAAGAGAGGAGGCCAGGACTTGTTCTTTCAGCTAATATATTTATTGCCAGGGACTGGGGATAAAGCCGTGATCAAAGCAGTGCAAAGGCCCTGCTCTCGTGGACCTCATGAATGGTGGTTGCCAGTTCCTGGGAAGAGGGGGACTGGGTGAGGGGTGGCACAGATTTTAGGAGGGGGACTCAGGAATTGGGTTTGGGTCAGGTTAAGTGGAGGTGGGGTAGACAGCGCTCTGCTCCCAGGCCTCCGGCTTCCCTCTTCCTGTAGCCCCACACTCCCCATAATGGCTCCCTGCTCTTTTTCTTCACCCAACAGCCAGGATAATGCAGACCCCACTGACCATTCCTGTGCCCGTGCTCCGGCTCCCCCGGGGCCCTGATGGCTCGAGCCGAGGCTTTGCCCCCGACGGACGCAGAGCCCCCCTGAAACCGGTGGTTCCTGAAATCCCACCGGAGTCTCAAGAATCTCGGGAATCCCAGGAACAGCGGGCCCGAGCCACCCTTCGGGAGCTCTACCTCCGCAGCCTGCTGGCCATGGTGGGGCGCCAGGTGAGCTTCACGTTCCACGAGGGTGTGCATGTGACCGCCCACTTCGGAGCCACTGACCTGGACGTGGCCAACTTCTATGTGTCGCAGCTGCAGACTCCCATAGGCGTGCAGGCTGAGGCGCTGCTCCGGTGTAGTGACATTATCTCATACACCTTCAAACCGTAAAGATGTCATCGTGTTCATCTTTCTGCCTTGGGCGTAGCCACAGCCTCCCAGGCCTCCATATCCTCCTGAGCTTGGACCTCTGGGCCCCAGAGAGTTCGGAACACCCTTGGAATTTTGAGCCAAGCTTCAAGCAACTCTGACTTCTTGGGACAGTAAAATTCTGCGGCCCCAGGAGTTCGAGATCCTCTTGAAAGGAAGGCTCTACCTCACAGAACTCTAAACTGTACAGAGACACGGGCCTCAGGCCCATTCCTGAAGATTCCGGGTGGAGAGAGGGAATAAAGGAAGGCAAATTGTCTAGTGGAAAATTGTCTGTTGAAGAGGCTGCAAAGTTCAGCCACCCTGGAAATACTCCCCTCCCGCCAAAGTACCAGTTATCCCAGGAAAATCTGCCTCTTTTTTTTTTTTTTTTTTTTTTTTTAATGTACCCTATAGGGATTGAGCCAGACTTAGGGGGTAGAAGGGTGGCTGTCCACGGGCTGAATCCCATGGAGCTGGGCCGGGAAGGGGAGGACACGTCAAGGGAGTGGGAGGAACTCCGATAAAGGTGTGGTGATTGGACCTCCCGCTAGTCTCTGGGAAAGCTGGAGCGACCTGGATGCCAGACTTGGGAGATTTGGACTTGATTTCTTTTTCGGGTGGTCTAGGATGTCCATAGCGAGTTGCGCGGCTCGCAATGGGTCACATAGTCACGCGCAAGGGCTCCTCCTACTGGCCTCTGGGTGGGTAGATTCGCTTCCCCGCGCATACGGGGACTGGTTGGGACCTGTCTAACCCTGTGTGGCGGCACCACTGGGAAAAGGCAGAGGATTAAGGGTTAGGGAGAAACTTTGCCTTTTCTCCATTTCACCGCAGCTGTGTAGCGTGGCCGTCCGTATCACTCGCTTTACTTAGCCCCATTACTAGTAGCCTTTCAGCAGATTTGTGTTTATTTATTTATTTGGCCGCCGCGGGCGGCATGCGGGATCTTAGATTCCGGGCCAGGGATCAAACCCTTGCCCCCTGCAGTGGAAGCGCCGAGTCCTAACCACTGGATCGCCAGGGAATTCCCTCAGCAGATTTACTTTTAAAAAGTAATTTCTGCCCCCTCTGTAGTCCCATCTATTTAAGAAGGTAAGTGAAGATTCCATTAAATATGGATGAGATTTGCTTTGCTCCTCCTCAGTCGCCAAAGCGCGGTGGCCAGTGACGTTGAATGAAGCATGTGGAGAGCCTCAGCTCCCATATGTCCATTCACAGAGCTACCTTTGGCGACTCCTGGGCCTAGCTTCGAGTTGCCTAAGCAACGATGTCGCCTGCTCCTCCCCATGTATCCTTTTTTGGTTTTAGCTCCTCCTTGCCCGAGTTCCCTGTTGGGCTGGGATAGCGTGGAGAAAGTGCGGATGCGAATACTAAGCGACTGAATCGAGCCCTTGTGGGGGCGTGGCTTGAGTTCGTGCTAGTTCGCTACTGGCTCCGTGATCTACCTGGTCCATCGCCCGGTATTTTGGTTGGCAGATTGGTCCCTTGCTTCTGGCATTTCTTCCTTCGTTCAGTTTTTTAAAAAACTTAATCAGGGCTATAATATTCCTTATGGGTTCCTATTTCAATTTTAAAATTTAAATTGTATTTTATACAACGCTATCCAAATACAGAGGGTTATTGAAGCTGCAGTCTGCAAATGGAAGGCCAGAGACTAACCAGCAAGTGGGGAGTGGCTTCGTCTGCAGGCAGATGGTCCCTCTGTCCGCATCCATCACCTGTACTCATATATTCAACACAGCTTCTGTCGCCTTCCCTTTCAAGTTCTCCATCTCTTTACTTCTCTCATTACCAGTTGGCCTAGCCCCACGAAGCAGATATTTTTATTTCTATCAACTCCATTCCCTTCTCCGTTCCTAAGCTCGTGACGAATGTCTGAGAGCCTAAACATTAGTTATCTAGATTAAAGCGGGGAGGCGGGGTTGGGGCGGCTCAGGTTCGCGCTTGCGCGCTGCTCTGGGAGACGGCGTCCACCTAGCCCCGCCCCTCATATTCTGCAGTTCCGGCTCTGCAGATTCACTGCTCACGTTTCTTCTTCCTGTGGCTCTTTCTGCATTTTGTTTGCCCCCTTTAACAACGCACGAGACAACTCTACCTGCAAATAACTTAAGTTGATTTTCTGCTTTTCTGGGTACTCGGCGGGCTCACCGGCCCTTAACGAAAGTGCGGCTGCCAACGAGCAGGCGCGCACGGGACTCGGGGGAGGCGCGCTCGAGCTCCCGGCGGCGACGACTACGACGACCAGGAGAGCGGACGGAGGCGGCGCCTGAAGCAGTGGCTGAGCCCATGCCCCGGGACGGCGGGAGGGCCCGGAGAGACAAGTCTGGGGCCCGGGGCATGTCCCCAGGGCCCCCGTGAGGAGGTGGCGGCGGCGATGGAGGTCCCGCCGCAGGAGGCGCCGCCCGAGCCGGGCGCGGACGGCGAAGCCGAGGAGGCCCCCGCCGAGGCCCCGTCTCCCAGCCCCGCATCGCCCCCGGCCGACGGGCGCCTCAAGGCTGCGGCCAAGCGCGTTACATTCCCGTCCGACGAAGATATCGTGTCCGGAGCTGTGGAACCCAAAGACCCGTGGAGACACGGTAGCTACGGCTGGAGCGTGGAGGCGGGCTGGTAGGGGACCTGGGAGTCAGTGCAGACCCCAGCACAGAGGTGGAGCTCAATAAGTTGCACCTAATGACGATTTAAGGAGACAGTCGTCAGTTTAGAGCTGGAGAGTGTTAGAGAGGAGGTGGCTGTTGGGTTGGGAAGGTGAAAAGTAGCTGGTTTATGCTACTCCCCCCCTCCCCCCTCCCCC